CTCTTTTGAGCGCTTTTAAAAATTAAGATAAAAATTTTATTAATAAAATAAGTTGAAAAATTTTAATTTTATTAAATCGAGTTTTATTTTTTTTAAATTAATTTTATTTATTGACTGCAGTCTTTTTTTGAGCACTTTTAAAAATTAAAATAAAGAATTCATTAATAATATAAGATAAAAAATTTCAATTTTTTTAAATTGAGTTTTATTTTTTCTTAAATTATTTTTATTTATTATTTAATATTCTTATATTTACAATTATAATTTTAAGTTTTATTACTTTTATTATGAACTAATTTAACTAATTAGAGTTACAATGTAACCTAACCAATTTAATATAAGTTTTTGTAATTTTTATATTTTTAAAATTGTTATTTTATGATTAGTATATATTATTGTTTGTAATATTTTTCACTATTAAAATTGATATGGAGAGCATAATTGAAATCGAGAAAATTTTATGCAAAGCTTTTTAATAATATATTATAAATTGAACAAAATTCAAAGATGAATCAACTTGATTTGTGTAGTATCAATGATAAATAAATTTAATTTTTTACGTAAATTAAGGAATTTCATATAATATAATATATCTTTATTTTTTTAATTTACATAAAGATATAGTAAATTAATAAGCAAAAATAAGTTTGATATAATTTGAGAAAATATATCTAATAAAATATGAATTCTTGTTATCATATGAGCAATAATATCTTAAAAATATAATTATCTAAAATCTATATTGATTAATTATAGTAAAGTTAATGTTTTAATACCTCATATCTTAATTAGTTTTATTTTTTTTTAATTAAAGTTTTTTTTTTGGATTGTTTAAATAAATCTAAATTACTTATTTTTTATATTTAATTAATTACAATTCTCATGAGTTAAATATTTTTCTTATTATTATATCATTAAAAACAATTAATACTTTTATTAGAGTAATTTTAACACATCACCCACCACTACCTAATGCTTTTTGTAATATTGCAAAAGAGTGTTAAATAAAGAGAGTATTACTAACACTTCACTGTTAATATCCACAGCAACTCCAAATCGTAAGATAGCTTTATTCGATATATATACTCTCTTAATGGAAAATATTTGATTCCATATGTAAATTTAATTTCTTTGTGAATTTCTGCTGCGGCATGAAGCTAAAAAGAAAGAAAACTCAACATGCTTGCTAGCCAGCTGGCTTAAAATATATGGTTGTACGTATAGATACTCATGCAATTCAAATCTCTTCGATTTCGAAGAAATCCTACTTTGGCGACAAAGGTTTTACAACAAAGTGTGTTCTCTCTAAATGCCTAGGAAGTGACTGCTTATGCATGTATAACTTTCTTAAATATGTATGTCTATATATTTGTTGTTGTGATCAGTGTCATGAACTCATGCACGCAGCAACAGCACAGCAACAACTAGCTACCGAATTAGGTTGCAATTAGTTATCTTCCTTGATTCATCACTACTGTTAGCTCGCTCCCAACAGATAAGAAGTCGATGAAGGGAACTCCAGCTGCCTCAGCCTGATCTACCTCCTCCTCATCTCTTCTCGTGTTGTCGGTCACTTCACTTTTGTTGGAGTCAGTATTAACTTGAAGAAAATCGTAGAACTCGATTCCTTGACTTTTATCTGGATGCATGCGCCATAAATATATCAATATATATAAGCTCCAAAACAACATAGATCAAGTAGTTGTTTTCTCTTATCAAACAAATAAGGGTGTATGAATATTAACTATCATCTATCAATTGTTTCCAAACTGTAAAGCCAATAGCACCTTAATCATTGGGAAACAGCTAGCGAGGTATATATGCTTATTAGATTGTAGTTACCTTCGTTCACGGTAGCACAATGAGTTTGATTTTGAGCAAACAAGTCCTTGAAAAACTGAGGTGGATGATTACCAAATCCATTAGAGTATTTGTGCACAAATGGAGTGAAACTCCTTGAGTGATTATCGTCTGGTTTGGAATCAATTGCTGCTCTTTTGGCAAAAAGCCTAGATCTTTCTCTGCTTCTTCGTGCCATGATGACATGCCAATGATTCTTCACAGCATTATCAGTACGACCGGGAAAAAGACGGGCAATAACAGCCCATCTGTTACCGTGGATCCGGTGAGAAGCCAAAAGCCGCTCTTCTTCTTCCTCTGTAAAAGGGGTTCTATTGATCCTTGGATCCAACTGATTGAACCATCTTAACCTACAGCTTTTACCTGATTCATGGAAACGGCCAAACGGGGTTTCATCTGTTAATTAGTTTGTCATGCATGAAAATTATCAAACCCTAGCTAGCTGGCAAGGGTTTGTTTATATATATGAAGAAACAAGACTTAAATTCTCATTTTCAACATGTGTATATCTAGCTTTAATTCGCTGCTAACTTTTCAACTAGATCTTATATATTAATTTTAATAAAGTATCTGTTTTTAATAAAAATAAAAAAATAAAAAAATAAAAAAATAAAAAAATAAAAAAAAGAGAGAAAAAATCAAATATGTTAGGTTTTCATGCATGATCACCTGATCTCCCTTGGAGCTTCTCAGCTATGGCGTTCCAGTTATGAGGACCATAGCGTTCGACCAACTCCCGGAGCTTTTCATCTTCAGCAGGCCTCCAGTGGCCTCTAGAGCACATCGGATCCGATAACGGCCGTAGATGGTGTTGTTGATGGTGGTGATGGTGGGTGGGTGGAGAAACAGTTGAACAAGAGGTAGACAAGGAGAGGAAGGAGGTTGGGGGAAGAGAGGGAATATAAGGAGGAAGATGAGGATAAGGAAGTGTTTTCCGTTAGAGAGTTGGAAGGTTTGGAGAGAGCAGTAGCAGCGATTGATGCAAACGTCTAGGCTAACAAACGCTTATAAGTAATTGGGTTTAGAGAGGTTGCTTGGTGGGGTAAATTTCGTTCTCCTTTCAACATCTACACAAGTTTCTAACCTACAACGTCTACTTATAACCCACCAGAGCAAACTAAATACATCATCATATACTCTTTTTTTAATCATTAATAATTTCACGTTTCTATCTTTACAAAATTAATTACATACAATATCGACATTATTGAATCATGACTACATGACATTCAACAGCCTTATCACTATAAAAACACGCAGGCGGCTTAGTGAAGTTGAAATTTCTAAATAATTACACTTGGACTTAATTTATTACTAACAAATTATCTAGAGAAAGGAAGAAACATAATGGTGTATAGCCTCTTTAATTTGATTTTGTAAAAAGAGTATATAATTTGGTATTGAGATGATAATTTACCAAACCTAGTTGTTTCTAAATGAAACTAAGGTACTTGTCGTTTATTAGAAAATTAAGTAGAAGATGAACTTGGTGAAGAAAGGTTTCTGTTTTTTTTTTTTGAATAATACTTTGTACAAGAAGCTTTTATGCAATCTAAAATAATCTGAGATTATTCCTAATACAAGATCAATTAATCTGATATAGCTACCTAACATATAATATTTTTTTACACATTTAACATACATAATATTCATTAAAAGATGTTTATATATATATATATTACGAATACTAATTATTGTATCTTCTTATTTAATATACTACACAATACATTTATTAAAAAATTATTATTTTTTAATTTGAAATTAAAAGTAAATAAACTTAAAAATATAATCGTACATATAATATGTAAGAACTGACTGAATCGACTGTACTCATATTATACGTATTACATTTTAATAACTGAATCATATAAGTGTTAAAAAGTATATCGAACAAAAAAATGTACCACTCAATATTTTTCACATCTTTAACATTCAATTATGATGCATTTGATTTCAGATTAATTATGGTAACATGAAAATAAAACATAAATAGAAGGGGTTGGGTATTATTGTTAGACTTATAGTGGTGATGTTCGTATGCATGAGGTTATTTAGGTGTCGATAAACCTTTCAGACCTAACTAAACAGCAGCAGCTTAACTGCACGTGGACACTCAAGGCTTCTAAAGATTATAGTTAAAACTACCTTGAACCTAGCTAGTTATGTAGCCTCTTTGTGTTGACTCAAACATTACCTTGTTGCCTAATGCCAATGGCAAATAGAAACAAATGCCTTGTAAAATTAATTCCACAAAGGGGTAATGTCGTTCCAACCCATTACAACAAGAATGATGCATGTTGAATAGTTTGGAATGTAATCCCACCAAAATAATAATAATAATAATAAAATAAAAATCCTTCGCATATCCTAGGCTGTAATTACAAGATCAATGGGTTTGAAATGCAAATCCTTCCTTGAAAAGGAAAAAGGAATAATATGAAGAAGAATAGGGAGAGGCAAATCATGGATTTTTTTATTAGTAGTTAATGGGGGAGCATAGGAGAATGAGGAAATGTGATATCAAAATACTATATTTATAATAACATATATAGTATTATAAGTTTTTAATTATAATGTGTTAAAAAATATTAATTTTTTATTAGTTAAATATTCTTTTATAATATTATACATATTCATTTATTTAATAAAACCTTATAATTATAAACTTTACAATACATTATAACAATATTATTGTTGAATGTGATAAAAAAGGAAAGCCTCCAGATTTAAATTGCAGATCTTGATGCAGGTTTAAGGTGCCACCTGCTCCAATCAGCAGGTATATATATGAACTCCATACTTTCAAGGAACAAAGTGATATTTTAACCAATGGTTTGAATCAAGAGATTTTGTTTTTGTTTGGGACTTCTTATTCCGCTTTCTTCCAACAGTTGGGATTTAGCTATCAAAAAATATAGCCACCTAAAAAAAATAGGCAAAACCTTATGTTAAGCCCCAAACTTACCTTATACTTTTTATTAAGTCCTTAAATTTTTATTAAAACAAATAAGTTCCTAAACTTGACAATTTAAGTAATTTAACTACTTTTTTTTGTATTAACCTCCCGGTATCTAGTAACCATATTGGATCCCGACTAATTCAAAATTGAGTCACGTCAGACCCCATTAGGGAAAAACTCTCCCAACGCCTGTTTTTTTATTCACAAAACTCAAAATCGATACCTTATTTAAAGAGAAACTATGCTCCTACCACTCGAACCAACAGGTTATTGGTATAATTTAACTACTTTCTTTATAATAAACTTAATACTTATTTGTATCTTATTTATGTGAATAAAGTATTGACATATTATTACTTAGTGATAGGTATTGACCTATCCATACAAGTAAGACACAAACAAACATTAAGTCTAATAAAAGGAAGAGATTTAAATTACCCAAATCACTAAATTTCAGAGTTTATTTGCTTTAATAAAAACTTAAGAACTTAATTAAAGATTTAAAATAAGTTAAGGGGCTTTACCTACCGTTTTGCCAAAGAAATAAGGCAATTAAAATTAAGTAATGAGAACATCACTATTCATTTTGACCGTTGGCCTACTTTTCTCCGAATGTAAGATAGAAATAGCTAGCTAGCCGGTTATTTCTTCTTAAATTATCAAAAGCTCATCTTATATGTATATATATATATATATATCTCTAAATCCTAATAATGTTATGTCATGTTAAATACGCACCCTAACAGAACTTCTAGAAAACCTAATATAAACTTACAGACGAATTAACGGGTTTTATACCACCTCCTTTCAGAATTAGTTGTCATGTTTCGATTTTGTAAGTTTATATAATATATAAATGATAGTGAAAAAACTTTTATAATTAATGAAATTATTAACAAAAATTATATATATGGCAAAAAAATAAAAAACATATATAAACTTTTTAAATTATCATTCAAAATTACATGTAATGTTAGAAGTTGACGGCCAATTTTAAATGGAAGTAATATTTGATTATTACACAATTGATTGACAAATTAATGCACAGCTTTCATTCATGTGTGTACGTGAGATTAAGAAATAGTCCATAAATTAAAGGAAAATTACTAGTATTCATTTTAGTTTAACATATTTTTTAATATTTGTATGAGTTAATCATTATAATATAAATATAAATATAGTTAATTTTTACATATTACATGCATAATTATATTTTTGAGTTTATTTATTTTTAATTTTATATTAAAAAATAATAATTTTTAACAAATATATTATATAATATATTGAACCAAAATATATAATAATTAATGTCTTAAATTTAAAGTTCCCCTATAATTAGGATCCTAAGGAGTTGTGGTTCAAGTTTTCACTGGTAAAGAAAAAAAAAATTTTTCTTTTTTGTTGATCGAAACTGACTTTTGAAAAATAATAAGAGAATAATTTCTTGTAAACCTTTCAGGTTCAGTACGCCACTTGATTGCTACGGAGAACCAATACAGAAAACTACCAACAGGAACGATACTAAACCAAAAGCCAATGACTGAAGATCCGTTTAATATGATTGTTTTTAATTTTTATAAATTTTTTAATTATTAAAAATTAATAATTAATCATTTATTTAAAATAAGTTTTTAATACTGTTAACAAAAATTAAAAATTTGTTTAATAATAATAAAATTATTTTTTAATTTTTTTAATAATCATTAAAATATATATGGTAAAATATATGAAATTAAACAATTTTTTTTGTTAATTTACAAAATTTATAAAAATTAAAATTAAAAACTAAAAACCATAACCATGTTAAACAGAACCTCAACAACCCAATGAAATGCCTTCGATGACATAAATTTGAGTCAAGAAAGGGGTGAGATATATAAGAGTTTGCTCATGTTGTTTGTACAACAAAAATGTAAAATAAAATTAAGATAAAAAAGAGAGAAAGGATGTTGGACCAGAAAATGTTTACAGATGGAATTGAAAGTTTGAATTCATTCTGACCGTTCACCTGTTTTACCTACTTCTGCAGCAATCACATAGCTAGCTTTGTTTGTAAATTGTTATAGGACTGCAGCTTCCATCCTAACTAACAAAAACGGTCTTTCCAAACTTGTATCCATATATGAGATTAAAGATAGCGTTTCTAGAGACACAAGTTTTCCAACCTGCGAATCTGTCAAAACATAAACTACTAACTTAAAGGAGTTGTTTTGCGTTTTCTTGAGCTTAACTTTGAGAGAATATCACACCTACCTACCAAACTATGCATTTCCAACCTCCTATTTTGGCTACCTTATTATTCTCTCTGTTACACCTTAATTTCCTAGCTTATTCTATATAACGCAAACCCCTTCCCTTCCCTTCTCCTTGACTGCTCCAAAACCACATCTGCTTAGCAAAATACAAATGGAAAATGCTTCTTTGAGTGAAACCCACTTTTCGGCTTCTAGGTTTTAGGTGCAAGACAGGGATGTAAAGTAACATTCCTTCAGATTGATTTTTATACTAAACCTGATGGAATATGGCACCTTTGCATTCTTCTAATACCAACTATATACTTAATGAATCAACGGATATGATTTTATTTCCACGCTGCTTTCTAAGGGGGGAAGTGCTTTCCTATGTCATATGTATCAAGCACACTCTCCATCATCGTAGGGAGAGTGTAATCCAAGAAAACTTTTGCTTTACAGTGTGAGTTGTAAAAATCTATCAATAGAAACAACGAACAAAAGCACTGAAAATCCATTTCTTTCGGCTTAAGAGTCGATTGAGACATTAAACACACATGTTTGATGTTAAACAATTGACTCATGGACCCTAACAACCTGTCTTGGATAATAAAACAACCACAAAGTGCGAATGTGATAATATGATAACAGACTCCATTTCAAAATGTTGATGTTCGTGTCTCTAAATTGTCAATTCGAGTCAACAGTGCATTCCACAAAGATGAAAAATCATTACATGATCCAATCTTGATGCATATGACAGTCAAATATTAATGATGCAAAACAATAAGCTGGGCACTCGGTGGTTCAGAGAATTGTAAGCTTATCCCATCTACTTTATACGATTCCTTCTATCGCAATCATTCAATTAAAAACAAATCCTTTAACCTATGCTCCAGTTGAATACAAGCAAGCTCAATTTGCTTTTAAGGGTGTTTCACTCTAGAAGAAAAGCTAAGCAAGGTAATCCGACTCGATAATGCTATATTATAGACCTTCCATCAATCAAATCAAACTCTACATTATTTACCCAGTGCAAAATTTCCCGCGATGAACATTATTACCTTGCAATTGTTTTGTTACAAGAAGTCTTTAGGTAATATCAACAAACAGGTTTACAGAGAAATTATGCATACACTAATAGACTCAAACTCAATATTGACTAATTATAAATCTCAACTTATAAAATGATGTTTAATCAAATAAACAATCTAATGTATTTTGACAGAAAATGATTGAAAATGTTTCCACTAATAATACCAATTACCCAAGGAAATTTACAATAGAAGATTTTTAGTAAATGACAAATTGTTGGCAGCTAAGCACTATGGAATTTGAAAATTTTAATCATGACTTCAAGACAATACTAGTAAGAGATGGCAGCTCCTCTCTCAAATGTTAAAACGATAAAATTTTGATATTCACAAGGATGAAAACTCAACTTCCTGTGTGCAAGGACGATATGCTACAAAAGTGCTATCACTTGAGAAGGAACCTGGATTGAAGCAAGTGATTCCAGTGTATTTGAATGCCCTCTGCTCGCTTCTGTCACCTAAAACTATCTGTCCGAAGGGAAATAAATTGATAAAACAATATTAGGTACAGAAACAGTCTAATCTGTTTTTTCCCTTAATATTTCAATCTTTGTTAATTTGTTCAGATATAAACCCTCCTATATTTAGTACACATTCAATGCATTTAAGTCCCGCAGTTCTCAAGTCAACCAAAGGAACCTTTTTGAACCAAATCAAGAAAAGTTACTACATTACAAATTCAATTTTATTTTTTAGATTTTGTGTGATGCACAATATTAGTACTTTCACCTCAATGCATATATAAGAGCTGCACCTCAATGCATATATAAGAGCTGCAATAATGCAATTTTCTGAATAACATTTGGAAAGGTTAACAAAAATATTGACATCAGCATTACCGTATGTGGGGTTGGATACAGATGTAGACAGTGGTCATAATTCCAGATAATGGGCTGAATGAAAAGAGGCAGTGGGCAGAGATGGCTTTGATGGGTTATGGTGGCAACAAGCTGCAAAAGAAATTCAAAACCTATTACTTCATTACCCAATAACCACAAATAATTAGATCAATCATCAAAATCTGAAGAGATGCCGGATGCAGAGGACCATGAGAAGAAAATTACATGCTCAAAAGGATCATTAGTTTCTTCAGTAGAGGGGGGTATCAAACAAGACCGACGCATTCTATATAGCAGATCCTGGCGAAAAAATACTATTTCCTGGGTGTAGAACTTTATTCTGCATTCCACAAGTATATCATATTAATTGAATTGAAGACATAATTATTCAGGAGACAGATGGAGAAGGAACAAAGGGAAATAGAGAAAAGGAAAAGGAAACAAAAATAAGGGAAGGGAAGAGGAAAATATAAGACTTGGGAGAAAAAAATGTGGATGAATTACAACTCTTCATGATAACACATAATTGTCCTGAATTAAATTCCAACAGAAATAATAAACAAAAAAATAAATGAAATAATATAACTAACCCCAAATCCCAATTCCATAAAAATTGTCAAGTAACCCCAAATACTATAAAATGTTTTCCCAAGGACTGTTTCTCCATTATTATGTCCAATTGCATAACAAGCATTCTGTGTTTAAAGCTGCAAAAGTAACCACATGCTCCTGTCTCTTAAGTGGTTCGAGGAAATCAGACTACATAAATTCCAGTATCACCCCAGTCTAAATCCTGGAGGGAATCTTCTACCAGATCCTAAGTTTAATATCATCAATATTTTTCAAAAGGACAATGTTTAGAATATTTACCTGCAAGGATTACTTGAAAATATGGCATTTGGAACATGCTTCAGGAGCTCTGCAGTTAGATATCTTGGTAAAGCACAACGAGGTAGAACAGTTGATGGACCTGAAATTGTCAAAAGCCAGGATATCTTTCAGGGATGCAACCCATTTTGGGAACATACAAAATGTCCAAAAAAAAAAAATGAACAACCAAGTAATAGTTTGACAGACCTGCATCATCAGGACCAGGAATAAAGAGAAATCGACTATGCTCTTTCAACCGTGGATGGGCTGCAATTATTTCACCCAGCTTGCCAAACTGCAATCTAACATCCAAAACTTGCAACATGACTAGTCAATCTAAAAAAAAAAAAAAACTTCATATTTAAAATGACAACAACTTTGCCATACAAAAATTGATAAAAATATTGGTAGATAAACAAAGGTGTTCTTATTTCAACATTCCTCACCTGAGACTTGAAAAAGAATGGAAGGAAAGATTACATGGACGAGAACAAAAGTTCCCCATGAAGACAAATAAGGAAGGAACAACCTCCACATTCTCAAAACCATCTAGGACAGTCTCCACCTTTCGTACAGCCTTCTCTACAGACAAAACATAATTGTTAAATCACCTCCTCAATTCCTCCCACCCTCATCATCCTGAAAATTATTAAAGAAGAAGAAAAGGAATGGTATAAATCACCTCTTCATCATCCAACCAAATGTCAGAAAGTATGACAAACATGTCATTTTCTGCTTTCCTTTCCAGATCTGCAAGTCTGAGCTATTGAGGGTATAGGAAAAAGATCATAAGTTCATGAACATTTCAGATACACCAAGAAATTTCTGATGATAACTTAGGTGCAGATTCTAAATAATAAACTTCAGCAAAGGAATAGTTAGGTGTACCGTCTCCTCCCTTGTTAGCATACCACCACCAAAGAAGTCAAGGCCAGAAAGTGCTTTGAGTGATTTATCTCTGTCCTCTAACGGGGGAAATCCACATGTAATTACCTTCATTAGTAGTAACAATTAGAGAACTAGAACAAACACTTTCAAAGTTCAAGAAGGCTGCATACCAATGCCTTAGTAGCAGCACAACTAGAACCAAGATTTTAGTTTAGTTATTAGCAGATGGTAAACAAGGCCTAAGGCATCAGAAACTTTATCTGTCCAAAGCTCAAGACCATAGATATCATCATACAAACTAGGAAAAAAACTAAGATGCACTGGGTTTCAGGCTATAAACTAAAGAATCATGGCTTAAAGTTAACAGTTCTTATATTTGTAGTTTTAAAATAATCAAACGCAATAGATGAAGATTTTGATTCATAGTAAGAAGTTCGAGATAAAATCTACTTTGTCTCTTTTAACAACAAACAAACATTACTTCAACTAGCATATTATTCTGCAGAATTTATATTCATAAAAGCATAAAGAAAACTTTAATTTTGGCCCAGATGACTTGTTTGACAGTACTATGTTTCAGTAATATGAAATTGAAGAAAATACCATCACTGGTTTAAGTAATAAAAATGAAAAAAGTAAATGAAGTGTGATTGCTAAAATCTTTTTATTAGTCTCCACTCCAGTCACCTTTTTCTATACTAATTCATACTTCAGTTGGATGTTATGTGCTACACAGTTGTCTTCCTTACATAACTAGAACAACAAAAGTAGAAGTACAAGTTACATAAGCTTCAGAGATACATATAACATCCATGTATCTTTGTTTGACACAATCAAGTAAATAAACCTTCATTTATAAATTACAATATACGACAATTCTCTAAAATAATTAAGAAAAAGAATAGCTCAATGACAAAGATATTAACTACTGCTAGCAGCAGCTGACACACCAGCTGTTCTCAAAGATGTTATATATGTATCAATTAAAATAGGAGAGTGCTCTACAAACAGAAAATTCATAAAGGGTTCCAATGATCATATGGAAAACTAACATCTAAATGCTGATATTGTTAAGGATGCTGATACAAACACCCTCCAGTTCAACAGACTCCACAACAAACTCATTAAAAAATTATTATTTTCCAATTTGGAATTAAAGGTGGAAAAACTTAAAGCTGCGTATTTTAATGGCTGAACTAGTGGGTGTTGGCAGGTGTGTTGAGCTGGAGGGTGTACCAATCATTTTCCAATTGTTAAACTATCATGCAACACCATTCCATATGTTAATGGAGCGAAATGAAGTTGAAAATGATGACAGGTATAGCAATTCTTTCTTGAATACATTTTCATTAACAGCTGTGTGGAGTGCAAACTTCATTAGTCCCTTTTCTAATTATATATTACTTAGCCCTGCACTTTTCTAAAGGAGAAATATATACATGCCTATATATCTTATGAGTACAATGTTTCTATATTTCATATAAACAACTATAGTATAAAATGAGTTTTGAAGGTGAAAAATTGGCTGCATACTTCTAAAGTTGTTAAAACATATTTTAGAAACAATTGGTGAGTCTATAGCATTAGAGAGCAAAAGATATAACACTAACCTGAAATATTCCCTCTAGAAGCATCTCACCTTCAGCTACAATTATGGTGTTCTCTGTAAAAAAACCTGCAGTTATTTTGTACTTATTATCAAGGAAAACAATGATCTAATCTCCCCTTCATTGCATCCTAAATATGACATCCCAATCATTTTGTCTTATGAAACAGTAGAGAAATAAGAGACGATGGCATAACACACTATGAGGGAAAAAAGAAGTTGTGAGAAAGCTTGGGGATGGATGAAGGATAATCTGCCAATTAGGCCCATGCCTCAGTAGGAGTCACAAGCCAAGCTCATTCTGCTCAGAGCCCATGATATTAAAAGGTGGATTAGAGAGTGACTTGGAAACTAGAGGGGCATCTTAGGTCCTATTATCTCTAGGAAATTTTCATTTGTTTGAGAGGAAAGGTTCGTGTCACTAGAATACTAAAACTGAAAATTCCCCAACTAGCTTCAGTACAAGAGATGCTTCAAAAGAGCTACTCCAATCTATGGTTTCTAAACTTCTCTTATTTTTCATGTAACCAGCAAATGAGATCTGGATAAGGAGAAACATTTTGGCTCTAAATTCAAACAACATGATTACAAGTAGATTACCATAGTTCCAGCATTTGATTTTATAACTAGGTGGGAAAAAAAATTAAGGAAACAGCTTGGTTCTTCAATTCATGGGACACACCAGAGATTCTACCTTAGAGAAAACATAGATATTGCATAAATCATATAAAGGATATTGCTTTAGACAAGTCAACTTCTACAGCAGCGGTAAGATCTTCTAAGTAGAAATGGCCATCCTCCAACTGCGAGATAACACCCATGACCCATCTTCTCCCACTTTGCCCAACTAGAGACTGGATGGTAGATAACTGCCATGAGGTAAAACAAAATAGTTTCTGTTGGAAATCATAATAGTCAATATAACCAGAGTACTTCTAGAAAAGATCAAAAATGAAAAAGAAAACAGGAGATAATTGGCAAAATTTAAACAAGATTGAGAAACCACCTCACAGCCTCCAAAATTAGACATTTCAGTATCAAATGCAGGTTTGATGAAATGCATATCACGAGAAACCCTCTGATACAGCAAGAGAAATCTATCCCTGTACAAACCAGCTTTTGCAGAAGCCTCACCATGGATGGGTAGCCTGCCAGTATGCCTGGAATGAAAGGGAAAAAAAAAAAATAAGGACCTCCCAATTTAATAGGCATGAAACATTTTCTCATTCAAAGCTACAAACAAATAAATAAATTGGGAACATACTCGTAGAAGTGTTTCTTGATGGGGTCGAATCGAAACTTGGGTACAAAAAAGACATCAATAATTCGAAGCGCAGAATGACTGGAGACGGAGCTAGGGCATTCCTCTGCGACGACGCCTTCAGCTTCCAGTAAAAGACTGACAACCTTCTGCAACGGCTCCTTGTCAATTATGGAGGATTTCACTGCCAATTCGCAACTAAACACAGTGAGAATAAGAGATCAGACAATGGTGGAGAGGTAATTGATGTGAAAATAGCCTACAGGATTCATGTTCGAGATTGTCGAGGAGGAGATCGACGGCCTCGTCTTCGGCGTCCGGGAAGCTTCTGAGGAAAGAGAGGACCTCGTCGAGAGCTTCGATTTTGAGGCTGTATCCTCTGATCTTGAACTTCTTCTGAATCTTTTTTCTCAGCTGTGCGCTCATTTTCTCTCCTTCCTTCCTATCGGATCTAAGCACTTACCATTTGTGGGGGCAAAAGCCGAGGTTTCTAAGGAATTATGTCTTTGGTTTGGGCGGGAAACGATGTGGAGAATGGCGGGAAAACATAAAAATGGAGAATGATACTTGTTGCATGCCCTAATCTTGTCTAGGGAAACATGGGCCAGGCCCAAAGTTCAGGGTCAGTCTTTGATTTTTTTTTTTTTGTGAATATATATTCGATTTTTTTTTTCCCAAATCATCGCATGTATTCCGATCTCTTTGAATTGTCTTTTTTTTATTTAAATGTCTTTATTTATAATACTATACATTTTATATTAAAAAATAATAAAATTTTTTTATTATTAGTTTACATTAAAAAGTATAAAATAGTAATATAAAATTTTAATTATAGAATTAATAAAATAAAGGCCGCGAAAAGTAATTGGCACATGGAGATTAAGGGGCGGACAATTGTGTATTGGGTTGTTATAAGTCTATGTCAAGATGATAGATACAGGGTCAAAAATTTCGTCACATTGTAAAATTATCTTCTCTTCATTGAATATTTTTGCACACAGCTTTTGATTGCATCATCATACCGCAGTCCGGATTCAACCGTAATTAGCGACTTCCAAAAAAGCTTAGCTAGACAGTCCCTTAAGAGTCAGGATTTTTTAACCAAAATTTTAATACAAATCTTTTAGATGAAATTATTTCAATATATGAACCTATATAAGACACACATCATTATCTATGATTGCTATACATTTATCCTAAAATTTTGTGTTAAAAATTGATCCTAACTATCTTTTTTCATTTTTTAATTTTATGTGGTACAAAACATAGCAAATATAAAAAACAAAAGTCAATGGCGAAAACGAAAATTTACTTATTTTTTTAACTTAATTATATAATGAGAGTTAACTTTTTTTTGTCTCTTAATCTATCATAGTGATAAATGATGTGATTTGAATTTAAACACTTTTATTTTTATTAAAAAGAAATTTCATATAATTATTTAAATCGTTAACAAAATTTACTTTAAATTTTGTTTGATAATACAATAATTAGATCATCAATCTAATTAGTCTTATCTGTATATGTAAACCATATCAGTCAAAAATATTTAGACAAATCTTCCAAATAGCATGCCTTCGAATCTTATATTACACTTCCTCAAGGTTCTCCTCCC